AACACCCCAGGGAAGAAAGAGGGGGGGGATATAAAAAAAGCCCCAAAAGCCCCAAGGGGAAAAAATCCTTTTAAAGAAGACATTATAAATTTTTAACATTTTATATTCACAAACCAGGGTATGATGAAAGAAAATGACAATGAAATGATAACTCACAATAAGTATTATTCGTATTTTCGAGCGGTATCAACACAAAACACCCAATCACAGAACACATACTAATATGTACACATATTAAGTACCAAATAAAAAGTATAAAAGTATTTCGAAAACTTTTTACCAACTTTCATTTTGGCTAATAATATAAAATTGCAAATGGAGTTATTTCTTATAAAGGTTACGTGCAAAGCCTCCTAATTTTCCTTCATGCTATGCTGGTTTTTCACGTTATAGGAGTTTCAATCCGGAGCCTGAAGACGTACGTAATATCTCCCAGCTCATTTCCACTTCACCAAAGTAAGTTTGGGAATAAGTCACCGATTTGTTACATGGCATCCTTTTCATAATCGAAGGCTACAAAACATCTTTAAAAAAGAAATTCTGATTGAAATTCAGATCAGATGATTTTTCTGCAATGTTTTCATGACGTGACTCAACACAACGTTAGTTACAAACTGTCTTGATTCGATTGCTGATGCTCCTACAAATGCAAGCCATGGGCTATCACAATATTGGCCTCTTCCAGAGATATTTCCGCGGCTCCAGATTTTAAGGGATAAAATACTATTTCCTGAAGTGTTCCTACTCGTCCGCCATCGGGTATTCTCCGCCCAAAGGGAAGCATAACGCCATCCGATATTAACACTAGGAAACCAAAAATCAATACTGGTAGAGCTCCCAAAACGATTCCAGCTGAGACAATTATCATCGGTGCCCTGATAAGATGTTCATTGACGGAGTCAAGTAGCCTTATACACCTAGGCCTTGCGATGAGAAATAACATACGTTACGGTAATTTTCTTATTTCGTCATTTAGCTGAAGCTTTCTCGATCCATTTGATAAGATGTACACATTCTTCAGCCAATTTCAACGCCCTTCGTGTAACCGTCAGATGAAAAAAATGGGAGCCTATTTGTCGTACGCTAGTCAATTGTTGCAATGTCTTCCTTCAGTTTCAATACTCGAAAGAATGAAATGGCACTTACCAACTTAATAACTTTGATCATGTTTGTAGCAACTAAAATTTCCGATCACTGAATCACGAATACGTTTGTTGAATTTGCTTTCAGAAAAAATCCATTAGTTATTCAATACTAATTACTTCATAAAAATACGGATATTCAGAGGTTATAGTTTAAGTGTAATATGATGCATGTATAAGTATCGACAGGCGGTAAAAATACATTTCAATTTTTCTCAAATTTAATAAGAGGTTTTGTTCTCTGAACAAAGAAGGGCAATCAACATATACAGTTTGCAAGAACCCATCACATGCACAAATCTTTTCACAAACGTCTCAAGACAATTTTCAAGCTCGTGGGAGAAAATTTGCATGCTACACGAATGACACAGACGTATTATTTTCTATTTTCTTCTGGACTAAATTAGCTATTCTGAATAGCTCCATCCTCTTCAGCTGCCATCTTTCGCCGTCCAATCACCCTTATTGAATTTTCTTAATTCTTTGTTTTCTAATAGTAGAAAAGAAATATTATTTTAAGAATATACAGAACAGAAATTTCTTCGTTCCTAAGTGGCAAATTTTTAAAGAATTTTGGATTTTTCAAGAAATGGGGTTTTTATAGCGCTTCAGTGGGAAATTGAAGATCTTTTCAACAGAAAATTTTTTGAGTTTCGAAAAACTCTATTTTAAAGTAATTTGAAACCATGGTAAATTAACAAATACCAGATACGGTTTACAAATTGCTGGAAAATTTACTACAACACCATAGTAATATTCTAGCTCGTTGGCAGAGTAAATATTCTTACTAGAAGGTGCGTGAAGGGAGATCTTGTTGTCACCTCCCTGATTATAGAAACTAGGATAATTTTTGCGAAACTAAGTTGGATGCGACAAGCGGTTTAGAACAGAGATATGGTGGTGTCCGATGGTGTAAATGTGCTGAAATATTCTATTGCTCTGTCAAAATGTGTGGAGAGATATTCAATATAAAACTGAAAGAAAGTGAGGGATGCTATCAGCTCCTATTTCGGAGTAGCTGTGTCCTTGTAACGTAATTTAAATTAATGTAGAATTAAGTGTAGTTTCGTAATAAAGAATGCATTTTTCTGGCACGTTTTTTGACCAGTATTGAGAATTGCATCCAAATAATAGAAAGCCATTTTTGTCAATTAAACTTTTGTATTTTCAAAATTAAACATGCTATTTCATTCGGGTGCTCTCTGCGGTCTTGTTGGATTAGATATCTTCTACATATAAGGAATTTTAACGAATTAGTAGGGCAGAAGTGCAAATATTTATAGATACATAATCGTTTACAATTTAATAACTATCGAATATATGATTTGTAGGCAAGCGTTAGTTTTCTAAAGATCGGAGAGAGACTAGACTGAATCGATATATATTTAATCAGCAAGTAAGTTTGGGTTAAAATAAAGATGGTAATGCAAGCCGAAAGGAATGTGCCCAGAACAAAAGTATCTTACATGAATACATTTTCTTTAAATACCGATTCCTCAGTATGGAATACGGCCTGGTCAAATATTCGTCCAACTGTTTTGCATTATATTCGTTTTGTTAGCAACATAAATACCACTGTGGAAGTGAGCATTTTAGGCTACAATGATTGATAGAAATCTGGTAACGAACTTTAAGAAAGCTGAAACTACAATCACGCGGGAAGAATTGGTCTCTGTTCAGTACTATCCTTTCTTCCGATAAGTTTATTTATTAGTCTTGCTCTTGCGAACTCTAACCTCCTAAGTCTGTAATCACCAAGAAAAAAGCAGGATAATTTCATAACTCGTGCGAACGAGCACGTCTTCATTAAAGAAGGGTTCAGTACGACGTTCCAAAAATCCATCCTTGTAAGATCATTTTACTTTGATCGTACTTACTAACGTAAGAAGAGGAAGTATTGTAATCGTGGCACCGGAAAATGGCGCAATTTTCGACACAGAAACTATGATTGCGGCCCTGCGTAAGGAAAAAGTTCAAATAATCCAGTTCTAAATATAGGGGGAAAAATGTTCTAACAGTTGATGTAGCCAGAATCCATCTTTTGTGGTCCTTCAAAACAAAAAATCAACATGACAAGCAAAATCTCTGTCTGTCGTGCCGCGTCTGTGCACGACGCTAGCCGCAAAAAACCGTTTCAGGTCAATTTTCTCCAAAATTGCAATTATCCCCCAATCATTTTAGCTGCATGTCGCGGACCCTGGAATTGAAACGAAATTTTTTATTTGGAGGGTACTTTACATTCAAGCCTTGAGACATTATCCCAAATTTCCGAAAAAAGATCCCAATGTCTTTCATTAAAATTTTGTTGTTGCGTAGTTCAAACAACTTTAAAAGAATTGTGCAGGTCTCATTTTTTGACCTCCTTATTTTGTCAAAAATTGGAAAAATTAATTTTTAAACTTCAAAAGATAGGACAAAGAGAGGAAATGAAAAGGAGACAGAGTTTTTTGTCTCTGACAAAGTGTCGTTTGTGCAAAATTAGCGCTTCCAAAAATCATCATGTACAATTTTTTTGAAACAAAGAGTAGTTTTTGCGTTTATGCAATGAACTTCACAAAAAAACTCAAAAACCCTCTCAATTTTATCTTAATTTTCTTCAGTCATGTAATATGTACGATAACAATATGGTGCTTGTCTCATTTTCGGGTATTGCTCGGTTTTTTGA